ACATTATGAGCGTTTACTGTGTTTCTTTTTTTTTCCCATTAAAACTATGAGTGTTTAGACATAAATAAAGGAGTTTGTTGGGTTCTCCCCAAATGGCACAAGACAGTGATTTCAGTCTTTTTCTGAACAGACTTCATGGGCTAGGCCAGTCTGTTATAAGCTTTTCAGACTATTAGGATGTAGCATGAAGGTGTGGGCCTGGGCTTTTTGTACATTTGGGTTAATTTTTAAACATTGCTTGTGATTAGAACAGTTTAGAACAGTGTAATCTTTTTTTTTTTTTTTTTTTTTTTTACTCAAGTGTGGTCATTTTCTCTAATTAAGAAAAATTGCACCAATGTTTCTCCATGTGTTTGCAATTTTAAATCAGACCAATGACACTGTGCACCTTTTTGGGGTTGTAGCAGGGTTAATTGCAGAATTACTTTCTGACTGGGGTGATATGATCTGGGCATAAAAGCCCTAAAGTTAGCCATGCACAAGGTTATCATGAACTCTAAGTGAAAAAGGAATGCTTCTCTTTATTGGGAAAAATAATGACTCAATGCACTGCTGTCCCAAAAAACAAGAAAGGTATTTTTGTTTTTCATACTAATTCCAAAACACCTCAGTGCTTAAGCCTATATTTAAAAGGAATTATCATCTCCTTAAATGTTTTGAAATCAGGACACTGAAGTGTCATAGGAATTAGTAAATCAGCTGTTTAAGTTATCAATAACGCAGGTTTTGGATACCAATGCAGGTAATGGGCTCAGAGTGGAATTTCAGTGTGCTGAGACTGCAAGGTGCAGACCATGGCTGGGCACAGAGCCTGTCCATGGTGACAGACAGCCTCGGCTATGGTGGGGACTGAGAGCTCAGGGCTAGGCCAGAGAAGGGTTTTCTGCTGGTTACAGAAGGTGATGTCTTTCTTCTTGCCAATTCACTAGTCATTTTTGCATTTAAAAAAACTCAATTCGTTAATAGTGCTGGAAGAGACAGAATATCAGAGATGAGGATATAGGGTGACACAAAAGAAGAGAGAAATGCTAGTTTCATCCCAGTGTTTGCAATTAGTCTCTTACACTTGTATCAGAGGACCAAACCCTATCCTGGTGTGCACTGTCTGACAAATCCACTGCTCTGTGTGAAACTTCTGATTTACACCAGAAGAGAACTGAAGCTGAAGTTTTGCTCTGGTCCTTTTCTGCTCAGAAAAAAAATGGACAAACAGCTGTGTAATGGACAAGTAGCTGCGTAAAGGCATCGCCTCCTTTCTACATACAAGGGTTTTAAAAGGGAAAGAAAAATGGTTTCTGCTATAGTTTTCTCTGTGTCACAGCTAAAAATAACAAACCTCTGATGAGTGTCTGAACTTCATCACCAGCAGGGTGGATAAAGTATATCTGTGTTTTGTTCCCAGGCTGCTGGAGAAACTGTGAAACGTGGAACATTTTGTTATTTTGTTCAGCTTGTGAATTGTACTTTCTTGCTTAACAGTGTGCACCTGGGAACAGGCCAGTATGTAGAAAAGCTATAATAATAATAATAATAATAATAATAATTTTTTTGATAGTGAGTGTAAACACTCCCATTCTTGAAATAAGGCAGCAGAGCTGATTAAAAATGCAATACAGGAGAGCTTTCCCTGGGCATCAGCTGCCTTGGACATGCCAAGCCAAGCCCACAACAAAGCTGCTGAGGGTTGGCCCCTGGCTTTGTTGGCTACAGGGCTTTGTGGCCACCCCCAAAGCCCAAAGTGGCACTTTCTCATGGTGGCTGTGTCAGACTCGGGGTATTCAGAGCAGGGTGGCAGTGCTGCTGTAAGGTCTGGAGTGAGGATTGCCCAGCAGGAGGCTGCAGCATCCTCAGCAGGCTGGCACACAGGTACAGCTGCACCTGCCTGAGCCCTCCTCTTCCCCTTGGGAATTGAAGCTCCTGTGTGATCAGGGCCACGTGCTCAGCAGCCACAGCTCACGCTCTGCTCATACAGTGGTATCCAACACCCTGGTGTGAGCAGAACATACACCAGGGAAATCAGTGCTGCAGATTTTTTCCATCTGAGATAAATGTGTCCCATGTGCAACACAAGCAGAGCCTGAAAATGGGACACAGCAAGTCCCGAACACTTGTTTCATGTTTTGTGCAAACATGGAAATAATCTCACATATAGATTATTTCATTAAATTCCTTTCAGCAGCAACTGGAGAAGGTTGTTTCACTTGGGTGAAAAAGCCAGGCAAATAGATTCTCCATGTGCTTCTAGTTACTTCAGGGTGATGCAAGTACAGCTTCTTCTACTTAAAGCCACTCGTCTGCAAATTATTATGGGGCACCCTTCTGCAGGGTAGCATTGGCTTCCTGCAGCACCTAACAACTTGCAGTAGTAGATGCTTTATTATTTTTCCATTATCTTTTGGAACCTGGTTTATAGGTTTTGGGAGAAGACCCTAATATCACAGAAATTTCTGGCTGGAAGGGAACCCAGAAAATCACCTACTCCATCCCCCTGTGCTAAAGCAGGGTCAGGACTGGCTTATTCCAAGGCTTGCAAATTGCTGTGAGAACGGATTTGCTCTGCTCACATGGCAAATCTCAGGGGCACCCAAGGTCAGCGGTGCTCCTCCCGATATCCTGAGAGTCTGTGTTATGCAAGAAGTTTTCTTTCAGGTGTTCATTTTGCTTTGTCTGTTTTGTTGCAGGGCTGTAGACACAATTGAATTCCACAAAAGCAAACTGGTGTGTTGAACAATTTGGTTGTCAGAGGTGGATATTTGCAATGTCATCAATAAATGCTGGTGTACAAATATGTTTCAATAGCAAAATAAGCTGAGTTTTCTTCTTATTTTAGGCAGGTTCTTCTTGATTTTTTCCTGTACTGCTCTGACCTAGACTCCCTCTGTTGATACCCCTGTGTGTGGTTTCACTTTCTACAATTCATCACTTCCATGCACAAAATATTGGCCTGAGCTGTGGGGTGCTAGAAGTTAAGCTGACCTACAACCCAGAAAATGTGTTTTTGCAGTGGATATTTCATGGGTTTCTCACTGAGGTGTCACAAATCTTATAGGAGGAAACTCTTGTTGGTTTTTCTTCTTTCCTTTCTTAATTTTTTTAGGATTTTTTTCTATCTAGGAAATGCTGCCTCTCTCAGCAATCTGTTCGCTTGGCAAGAAATACGACTATCAGGTGTTTAAAATTAAAGTTGTTAAAATCAAATTTGCAGAGGCAGGAGGGTTTGCCCCAGTGTCCTGGACATAGTCCAGGTTTGGTAATTACGTCTCTCCTAACGCAATCTTTCTTTGCAGTTCCGTGGCGTTCTTCCTGCCCCACTGCAATCTGCTGTGGGGAGCTGCTGTGCCATGGCATGTTCAACATCTGCCTGGTTTTCACCCAGGACTGGCCACACTTCAGTGTGTGATGAAGTGATTTATGACACATGGCGTGCACATACACTGGTTTTCTTCTCACAGTGACTTCTGCTGAATGGGAGGAGTTACTCAGAAACAACACTTACGAGACGATCAGCTCAGGAACTAAATATGGATTTAAGGATTCTGATTGTCTAGGTCACTCTTTCAGATCATCTCTTCCCAGATCATCCCTTTGTCTTATAAGGTGCTGCTGAGAAGTGGTGGCTCCATGAGATCAGCTGTGTTTATAGGATAAAAGCTTCCCCCTGCCCAGCAATCCCCTTGGAGCAGGCAGGAGCATTCCAGGTGGCTGAGCAGCCTCAGTGGATGGGGTAAAGCCAGCACACACACACTCCTGCCAAACAAACATTCTCCCAGCTTCCTTGGAACAGGCCAATTCCTCCCACACAATTAGGCCTGAAAACAGGAGCCTTCCCTGCTCCATCACTGCTGGGCCAAGGTGAGCTGGTCCTAGGAAAGGAGTGTCCCAGACAAGTGTTTGCTGAACAGCTCCTAAAAATTAAGGTGGGTTTGGCAAGAAGGAAGTGGCGAAACACTCTCATGACTCCCCTGAAAAAGGGAAACTCACAGGATTAGGTGTGATGCATATCAGTTGCTTTTGGTGTCATGCAAACTAACATTTTACAATCATAATGTTACAGTGAGCAGAAAAGCTTTATTATGAATATTTTAAAATCTCTGCCTCAGATACGTCCTTGGAGCTAGAGCCATGCCGCTAAGCATATGATGAATGGAACCTCTTTAAAACTCTCAGATAGGAAAGCTCCCATTCTAATTGTTTCAGATCATCTGCATCCTGTGTTTGGTTACATGGGGTAATAGAGGCCATCTGTCTCCCTGCTTTCCAATACATGGATTTATATCTGTGTGCAGAGCTGTTTTCACTAAGAAAGTGCACAGACCCTCCCAAATGTGTGATAAGAAAGTGCGTGCACCCAGGAACAGCCAAACTTTCTGGCCTTACAAGCCAAGTATCAAGTTCTTCTTAAAGGCTGTGGACACAAGATGCACATTTTGGTGTGTCCAGGAACCTGAGGACTTCAGGAATTAATGGGAAACACTTTTTGATCCCCTTTTCTCCCACTAGTCTGTCAGGGCACGGGGCTGGGTTGGGTCCCAGAGCACCATCTGGCACTGTCTCCCCTGATGGGAAATGGGGCATGACCAGAGTCCCTGTCCTTTTGCGTGGATTTATGGAATCTCCTCCACAACCCACTCGTGTGGCCTGAGAGAGATGTGCACAAAGGTCCCATCAGGGATGTGGGGGCCCTGTAAAGCAGAGGGTCTCAGGCTGCGGGGGGAAGGACACAGCTGGAGACCAACGGGGACAAGGCAGGCCCATGTCAGGCACTTGATCTGTGCAAAAAGAGCATCAAGATGTCACCAGCCCTTAGGGTGAAAATGTTTATTTCCATTCAAGAAAAAATTCAGTGCATTTCAGATGAAAAGATGCAGTGAAATTTCCCTTTTCTTAAAACTCAGGTTATTTAAAGAAGAATTAAAATTAATCATCAACCTGATGTCTGGCTGAGAGGCAAGGGCAGCACCAGGGGTGAGCAGCAGTGAATCACCCCCTGCTTCCACCTCTGCAGGCACCACCTCAAGGTTTCTTAGCAGAAAAAAAAATGTCAAGGAAGTTTTTGAGAATTGTAAATCAAGCACAGCAGGGATAAATTACTTTATGGTGCAGCTACATTAAGCTACAGCTCTCCCTTCTACAAATACACCTTTTGCTGACATATTGCAATAGCAGACTTTAAAGGCAGCCAAGCAGTGCAGTACATTTCTTCACTCAGATTAAAAGCATTGTTTAAATTCTTGTGGCTAGACAATTTGTCTTGTCCTTTTTTTTTTTTTTTTTAAAGAAGCCATTATTAAAGAGCAAAGCAGCACAAAGAGACTGGGATGTAGGACTGAGGGACTGCAGGGAATTTTTAGCTCGCCTGCTGCAAATCAAGATCAGCCTTTTTACCTTTCCACAATCTTCCTCCCTTTGTTATTTGTGGTTTCCACAAAATCTTATTCAAAGATTCTCTCAGATGCTAGAATTAGATAATGTCTCTGGAAAAGGGTGTCACAGTCTGGATAAACATAGCCATGAATAAAATATTTTATGTAATGACACCTTTCATCCAGCAAGGCTCCAGGGGGGAAAATAGCTATAAAAGCACATATTTATTATTTAAGAAATAATAAGATGTTTTATATGATTATATAAACACATGGAGATAGCAGGTGTATCTGCATCTCAGACTCAAGCACTTTTTGGCCTGATACAAAGCCATCCTGATCCAGGGGTGAACAGGAGCAGCAGGTGGGTGGCACATAATGCTTGTGATGCCTTTTATATAACAAGACAAAGCTTTTCCTGAGAGAGGAGCCTTGCAGAGGATGTGCTACAACCTCCCCCAGGACTGCCAAGGACATCCATGATGGGATTTTTGTGGCGTCCAGTGGCATTTTCTGCATCCCAGCCCAAACACATCGTGCCAGGCTCAGCAGAGGTGACTGCAGAGAACACCTGTGATGTTTTAGGGCCTGTGATTTTCCAGTCTTACTCTGTGCTATCTGTCAGGGAAAGGACTGGTTAAAATGACAGGGCTGAAGGAAGAACAAAATGGGGATGTTCACATATGTTGTCCAGTCTGGAGAAGAATAGAGCTGCTGCCCATCACCAAAAGCCTGGTTATGTCAACCTTAACAACACATCTCCCATGACTGTGAACCTCAGGCAAGGCACCAGGGGGTGGGTGAAATTCAATGGACAGCACATGTTTGGGTAAAACAATACCTGAATAAAAAAAGGAAGAAGCCATGGGAGCATCAGTGAATGCAGCAGTGGAGACTTTGCCATGAAACCCTGAACTCCACGTGTTCACCCACCCAGGCACTTTGATTTTCTTGTTCATAGATGGTTTACTCTTTCCATGTAAGCAACCTTTTTCCTGTAATTTGACATGGGAAGAAGCTACCATTTGCATTGCTGAGCTGTTAACCTCCTTTCACCTGCAGTCTGTTTTAAGAAGGAGTTCCACACAAAGTACTCAATTTTATATATAGATATATACAAACCCTCTGGCACCTAATAGGTCAGAACAAGCAGATAGGTCCATGCAGCCACAGAACTCATTTAATAGCATCAGTTGTATAAAATGCAGATCTTACTCTTGCCATTTTTCAGCCCCCACAGGTCCCAGCAATGTTCCTGTGCTCAGCAGGGTTTTGGGATCCAGCTGCAGCTTTGCAATTTCAGGTGCCACAATTTGCTTCAGCCCACTTTCAGCTCTATTCAAAAAAAAACCCCATCAAACAAAACTTATTCTCTTAGGGAACAATAATGAGATAATTTGATAGTTTTGTGAAGGTGACTGTCTGATCAGTGTCTAAAAGTGAGGAAATGACAAAGCACAGCAAGTTGCTGTTCTCACAGAGCGAACCTTTGTACCTTTGCAGGAAGCATGTTGGTTCATTTTTCTGAAAAAAAAAAAAAAAAAAGAGGGGAAAAAAGTCAGTTCTCAGGGTTTCACGCTAAGTGCAAATGAGCAGACTGCTCTGCCTTGTGTATTTGTACATTAATCTAGCCCAGTGGGGGAAAAAAAAATTAAAAAAAATTTAAAAAAAAAAAGTTATTGAAGGCATTGGGGGGAAAAAAAAAATCGGTGCGTGGAAAGGAGCTTAATACATTCACAGAGTTATTCAGCTCTAACAAAGAGCAGCAACCCCAGATGACCTCCTGGCTCCTGTCTCCACCCAAGTTCCTGGCCCCTGCTCAGCGTCCTGGCAGGAGTTGCAGACATCCGCCGCGCGGTGCCAAGAGGCTGTTTTGTCTGTAGATATGTGATAGAGATTAGCCGCTGCTGGGGGAGCTGCTGCTGCACACACCGGCACCTCCGCACCGGGACCCGGCATCCCAGCGCCCTCCGAGAGCTTCTGCTCCCACCCCCGGAACCCGCTCGGAGCCTGCGGGAGAGAGGAGAATTCCCAGAGAATTCCCAGCAGGCTCGGGGGGCTCTGCGCTGCCCTCCCCGGCAAGGATGGGATGGATGGATGGATGGATGGATAGATGGATGGATGGATGGATGGATGGATGGATGGATGGATGGATGGATGGATGGATGGATGGAGTGGCTGTGCCATCAGACCTGTGCGATGTTCCCGGACAGGGATCACGGATCCGCCCCGATGGCGCTCGAGTGGAAGCGGACTCACCCCGCGCACACGGCTCCTTAACATCTCCCGCCTTCCAGAGCTGTGCCCGGAATGGAAACGCCTTTTGTTTTCCCGTAGCAGACTTTAAAAGAAAAATCTCGGTTTGACTTTAAATACTTTTTACCCTCCCCCTCCCTTTTTCCACCAGAGACAGGAAACAGTTCTTTCATGCGTTCAGAAATGCAAATTATGATTGGCAGAACATTACAGTGCAGAAAAAGAGCTTTTGAAAGAGGTCGTGGAGGAGCGATCAAGGCAGATAAAAGGTTAGGCCCTGCACCAGGCGAGCCAGTCTCCCTGAGTCACACACCCCCTACTCGGGATCTTGTGCTTTTATCAAAGGACCGGGCAGACCTGCAATTTCACTAACATGCAAAGTGGGAAGGGAAAAATACTGGGCTCTCCCTTCTCCTTCTCCTTTTCATTCTCCTTCTCCTTCTCTTCTCCTCCTTATCCTTTCCTTCTCTTTCTCCTTCTCCTTCTCCTTCTTCGCCTTCTTCTTCTCCACCTTCACCTCCTTGTTCTCCTTTATTCTTCTCCTCCTTCTTTTTGCTTTTTCTTCTCCTTCTCCTCTTTCCCCCTTCTGTCTTCCTCCTTCTCCTACCCTTTCTCTATTTCCCCTTCTCCTTCTTCACTCCTCCTTCCCTTTCCCCTTCTCCTTCTCTGCCTCCTCCTCCTCCTCGTCCCCTGCTGAGGATCTGAAGAGCCAGAAGACTCTTTGAAGAATTCATCTTTTTGCCTCTCCCAAAAGTCTCCGCTACTGATAACTAGATACCATCCTGGCATGAGAAGGAGCTCTCTCTGGAGTGCACCAAAGCTGCTTGGCAGAAACCTTGTTGTCATCATTTATGTTTTGTTCCTAAGAGCACTATAAATAATAAACAGACAATATCTTATGAGAAGAGGATAAAAATTAATAAAACACATTCATCATTGGCTACTACTTTGTAAATGGAAGTGACAGGTTCCAAACTCTCTTCTTCAGCCTAAAAGCATGGGTACCTCAAGGTCTGGCTTAAGAATGGGGGAAGCCAAGATGCAGCCAGTGGGCAGAGCTTCTCTCCCTGCCCCCAGGCTCCTTGTTCTCCTCTGGAACAGGTTGGGATTCACCTGGCAGAGCAGTTTCATGTGGGAGGATGCTGTGTGTATAGGCTCCCTCTAGGAATAATTAACCAAGATCAAGACTCCTGGATCCTTGGAGGGGAAACCTTCAAGGAAAGCACAAGCACTACCAGAGTGGCTCTGGTAACTCTGTGGGAAACCATCCCTGAGCCAGAGATGAACCAAGCCCTTTCCCTGGCAGAAAGGACCTTCATGGATTTACCCTCACTCTGCACAACATGTGAGAACACACAACTCCATTTCTTCCCGCAGCCAGTCAGCACATGGGAGTACAAACTGCCCACCTCACTCTGACCGCTTGAGAGGAACTTCTAACCTTTGCCCAGTGGCTCAGAAAAGACAGAAAATGGAGATTCCAACAAGCACATGCAAGTGCAGTTTCCCCAGAAACTGGGTTTTGACACTGATCCTTTGGTGAGATGCAGCCCTGCCTGCTCAGCCCTCCCTGCTGAGCTGCTGTTTGGGGCAGGAACCACCTCGTGCGTCTCATTGTACACCAGGACAGCAAGCACAGCCCCTGTGCTCTTGCCCAAGAGAGAGCAGCATTTTGTGCTTGTTTTGGAGAAATGATCTGATGCAGTTTGTAAAATGCCTCTGAAAACCTTGAGGAGGAGGATGTCAACAAATTATTTCTATCCCACAGTAGTAATTCCTCTCCTCATTTCTTCTCCAGCGTCCTTTACAATTGAAAATCCTTCTTCCCGTCTTCTTCTGAATGGGATTGCCTGATTTTTTTCCAGCTAATAATGAAAATAACAAATGCATTCTGGAGACTTGAAGAGAGCAGTGCTTGAGAGCACTGATATGCTGTGAAGATGAGAGGGTGAGGGAAGAGACCTTTGGCTGTGATGAGACCCAGATGTCCCATTCTGGCTGTGTCCAGCAAAGTTACTGTCAAGTCTTTCTTTAAATTGGGTCCCACTGCACAAACATATTTATTAGCATAACAAAGTAGCAATGGCCAAGGAAAGGAAAAAATGACTTGCCTAATGGAAATGAATTGTGCAGCATAACCTGGTGGTACATGGGACTCTATCATGGTATTTAATGTCTCTCCCCATGCTGAAAGAAAAGAGTCTTGACACAGGCGCCTGTAGGTCTGTAGAGCCATTGGTAGACAGCAAGGGCATACCATTTAATGGCAGGACATCATTAAATATGCCTTTATTTTTATTACTTTGTAATATTGTTATGCAGCTGAAATAAATCACAAGTTGTTTTTAGTGGGATTCCGTGACAAGCCACAAAAGCAGTGAGCTGGGGGGTTCCTTCTCAGTCTCCCTGTAAGCAACTTTCTGTACTCTCTGAAAAGAGCAAAACCTTCACACCATGACCTTTTCCTCTTTCAATATTTATTAAATGTATTATTAAATAAGTACAACTTGACCTCACAGCATCTAGTTCTAGGCTTCCGCTGCCCCAAGTCTGGAGGCAAACACAAGCGGCAGAGCCCCCAGACCAAACTGGAGGAACAGGACAGGTCTGGTGGAGGCCAAAGGTGTTTTAACCACCCTGCCTCATTCCTGAGTGGTTCCCACATCCCCTCCCAAACCAGGAAGGTGCAAAGGTGCTGCATGCTCACCTAATTAGTGAACATCAGTGAACTCGAGAGGGAGTTTGGCTCATGCTGCCACAAGCAGATGGGTAAAACATGAAGTCTTCAGGCATGCAGCAGAGAAGTGGAAAAGGAGATGCAAAAACCTGTGCTTGGACCTTCACCAAGCTGTCTGCCTGCCCCAAGAACCCACTCCTCACTCCCATACACCATCAAGGATGCAGCACAGTGTTTAGTTTTAAAAAGGAGGGACACCCTCTCTCACGCAATCACACATTTTCTCAGCTCTTGTGTAAGTAAAGAGTTTGTGGTGCAAAACATTTCACAGAAAACCTAAATATGCCAGCAGGACATTGTTAGCCAACATGTGATGATTTTAGCTTAACACATTTTGGTTTTCCTCTGCTCCCAGTCCCCTCTGAAATCTGTGCTATGTGTGCAAGCCCTCCCTCCCTTGGACTCTTCTTCCTTTCTTTTTTTTTTTCATTTGCACATGGTCAGACTGTTTCAAGGGAAGGGAGAATTACAGATCCTGATTTAGAGAGTTCTGCTGAGCTACTGGCATTATTTGTGTAAAACATTAGTTCCTTCTCATCACCTTTAAGATGCCTTTTTTTTTTTTTTTAGGTAAATATTAACTGAAGGTTTATCATTAACCACCTTTAGTTTTTTGTAAGAGTTTATATTATTCACATGAACAGTGTGCATTGTAAGATTCCTTTTTTCACTGTTTAGATACAATTTACTCACAGTTTCAGTTTTGTCTAATCTGAAGCCAAACTGATTTCAGTCTTCAGATAAGCTCCACCTCAAAAGGGAACCTCAAAAGGCTTCAGTTTGTCCAGTTAAGATACAAGTATCACCTGTTTGGATACTGAAATGTGTTCACATCAAAGAGATGAATTATTGTTCTTCAAGGTCAAGAAGAAACATTAACAGTAGGATGTTGAATATGAGGAGATCATTCAATTTAGAAAAAAAAAAAAAATCTTTATAGCCTGTTCTTTCCTGCAGTAAAGCTGTGTCTTAGTCAAGCCTATTCTTGCTGTGGCAAGGAGCAGCGCAGGTGGGTGCAAAAGTAGATCTGGTGAGCAAGTGTCAGAATGGAGAAAAATGAATGCTCTTGCAAAATTTCAGCCCATACTTTGATACTCCTGTGAAAAGCCCTTCTGTTTGCAACCAAAACCAAACTGGAAGAGCTCTGTTAGCTTGTACTCCGAGGCTGAGCACTCAGTCTCTGGGTTTCTATAGAAGTGACATCCCTGATGACCTCCCTGTGTCTCTCTGCCCACAGCACATAGCTCAGGGTCACCAGGCAGGTGGGAGCAGCAGCACCAGCCACAGAACAGAACCTGCACAGAGGATTTTCTCTCTAAATGAAAAGGGGTTGTGGAAGGGACATGTCTGAGCCATGTGTCAGAAGGAGGCAGCAAACCTTCCCCAGGCCCAGCTGCTGAGGGGCTCTGCTGCCAACCTCCCAAATCCCTTTATCTCAGGGTGCTCCAGAGTGTCACTCCAGGATGAGGATTCCTTCCACAGCCACAGCCAGGAGGAAGCCATGGAGGGGAGGGAGGAGAGCTGGGGTAGGGAAGCAGCCACCCCATCAGCTCCCTGCCACCAGCTGATGAGAGAGCCTTCCAAAGGACAGGTCTCTGGGAAGAAATATCCAGAACTGACTGCTTCTCAATTAGTCCCTGACATCCTTTAGGACAAGTTCCTTCTGTATTTCTTGCTACCATACAACTCCTGTTTCTGAGCTGGAGGAATGTCTCCTTACCCCTTCTTTAAACCCCCCTGCTATGCACACACAGAGAAAAACACAAACACCCAGAGAAAAACTTCTTATTTGCATTTGGGATGTGGATTGCAGAGGGATTCTGTTCAAAAACCTAGAGGGACCTGTGCTCCCAGTCTCACTGTCTCTTCAGAGCACTAACTCCTCCCTCCTTCTTTTGCTATGTTTGCCAGTGGAAAAAATTAGCAAACTCTATTTACAAATATTTTTGCCTCTTGGCCCTCTGCCTAATGCTGTACTATTAAGGCTGTCGTTGTTCCACTAAACAATTGCAAATGTTTTTGCATGCATGCATTGGCTTGCTTTTGAGTTCAGAGACTTTTATTCCACCAACTGCCACAAAAATTGTCTTGGAGAACCTTTTCCTTAACTTAATCCTGAGCCCAGAAACAAGTAATCTCCATTTCTGCCTTCCCAAAGTTCTCTGAGCAGGTTAGTGCCTAAGCTGAGCTACGAGCAAGGAACAAAATGCTTCTCCTCCACTTTTCCCTGAGACTCCTGACCTAGTAGCCATTCTCAGGGTATATTTTCAGGATTCTTCCCCCCTCCAAAAAGCCATGGTAGCCAACACTTTATTTTAAAGCACAGAATGAAATAGTAGTCCATGTTCACTTTCTTTTTTCTTTACCACCGGCCCATCCCCAAAATTTCAC